TAGACTGAAATACACTGAATTAGACTGAAATACACTGAATTAGACTGAAATAGACTGAATTAGACTGAAATACACTGAATTAGACTGAAATACACTGAATTAGACTGAATTAGACTGAAATACACTGAATTAGACTGAAATACACTGAATTAGTGAATATGTTGGCCGGCTGCCTCACCGTTGCTCATTCTGTCTTTTAAAGAAAGTAGTTTGGTTGTAAGAAGGAAAAAAATCTTTTTCAGGGTCTTGGATTGTGTTGCGTTTTGAATTTGTATTTTTAATAAGTTGTTTCTTGTGTTTGGCCTCAGTTATTTCACTCTTTCAATGTAAAAATCAGATTTTAACATTTCCAACCCAAACAGCTGACAGGAATCCAACATTATATTAATAATTTACTGTATGACGTCAGTGATTTGATCTACAAATATTAACTTTCCAAATAATGCATCAAACATGTTCCTGGTGTGTCATGCAAAATGAAAATTATGATCAAATTTAAAGATATTAAAGTTAATTGTTTTTTTTTTACATTTTACAGCAAAATATTGAAATGTTTTTTTTAAATGATGCTTCATTTAATCGGGCCGTTCTGATTTTCTTCAACACAAAGTAAATGCGTTAAATAATGGTGTGAGTCTTTCAGGACAAGAAGAGCATGAATCAGCATGAAAACCAAAGAAACAACAAACACAAGTTTCTATAAACCTGAAAAACTTTCACCTTTCTGTCCGAACTCAGCCGGACTCAGAGTCAGAGATGAAGGAGAAAAACTCTGCTGTCAATAAAACTTTAGGAATTATTTAAACAGATTTAATTTCCTGCTTTCAGGGGTTTTTTCTTCCTGATGGAGATCAAACTTCTCACCTGCCAGCAGGAACATGAAGCTCCAGAAAACCTTTCCACCTCCAGGAACCATCCTGAGTTTAGACTCTTTGCTGCTGATCATTCTGCCACAAAACTGATCAGTGGTGATGTAACTTCCTGTTCTCTCTCTCTCACTTCCTGCTTTATGTGTTTTTCCAGTAACTCCTCTCTGCATGTTAAATTAGGCCGACTGCAGCTCAGCTTTGAGAAACATTCATGTAGAAATTAGTTCATGCGTTATGTGAAAAACAAGGCAGTTTTTATCCAGCGACGGAAAGTGGAGCCATCATTTTAAAATGTGTCTCTGTTCCACTTTATCGGTGGAACAGAAACATGTTTTCAATCAATCAAAACTGCTGTGTGTGTAATTAATGACAAAAATAAAAATAATTATTAAACAAGCAGCAGCTTAAAAAAATCACAGTCAACATTTGGGAAGAGGAAACGATGCAAAGAGCTGAAGGGAAATGAAATGTTTTCTGAATCATTTGATCTAAAGAGTTTAATATAATCCTAATGAAAGACGAATAAAAAAAATCACTGGAAACAGGCAGGAAGAGAATTACAGGCTTTCTGTATTTTTTTAAGCTGCTGATATAAAAAGCTAAATATAATGAAGAAACAGAGCAGGAAACCAGATGCATATTCCGTTTATTTAGAAATAATTTTCTTTAAACTCAGATTTTCTATTAAAATGTTTTCAGTTGCAATAAAGAAAAACGAAACTTTTCCTGGTCAATCAGTATAAATTGATTTGATCAAGCAGATTAATTATTGATGTTAGACCGGCCCACTTTACATAACATCCTCGTATTATTAAAATAATGTAATTAGGTTTAATAATGTTAAACAGGTGAGAAAACGTTCCAAGTAGTGGGGCGTCTTGACAGAAACATTTAAATCACGCATCATTGTGCCACAGTTCACTGACTGAACCTTGTTTTGCTCTGACCGTTTCATCGTCCTCATTTGATGTTACTGTCGGTGTTACGTCAATCCGCGTTTCCCCATCAGATGGTTCCCCCTTCGTCTTCTTGCCGCTCCGCCCC